TCTGCCTGCCTCCGCCTCCCGAGTGCTGGGATTAAAGGCGTGTGCCACCAACGCCCGGCTAAAACTCCTGAACTTTTAAGCGGAGGAGTTTGGATTTTCAGATCAGGGGTGCTTAATCTGACTGGGTTCCTATACTAGACCCCAGGCTTGGATTCCAGGCAAGGGTGCAGGAACGACTCCTCACCTGGAGGAGGTGGCTTGCTCTCCCACTCAGCGTTCTCCATCATCTGCTTGGCTATGCGCTCTGCATTGCACTGCTCACGCTTCTGCTGTATGAGCTGCTGAAGTTCAGTCTTGCACGTGGTGATCCGGATCTGGTAAGTGGACGGCAGGACTGTGCTGCTTAAAACCTGAATCGCTGGCTTCCTACTGGGGATGTGTGCTACTTCCGAAATCTGAAAAGCACCATATAAATATATGTGTCACAGCCAGGTATATTTAAGTTAAAAATGTTCCCATGTTGCATCCATACATTACACCAGCTTCTTTTCCTTAAAATAACCTCTAGTGACTCAGGTGAAAAGAACAAGTGAAATTTCAACTTTTCTGAGTCAATTTCTTCTAATTAAAATATGAATGGTTGGGGTAGTTGTTTTAAGTTACAAACTCACTTCAAATCCACTCCCAAAATATTTTTGGTTTTTGTTACACTGAAGGAAGAATAAAAAGATTTAAAAGTTTTAAAATGTTTTCTGTAGCCTAATTATAATCTCAATTCAGTCTTTAGCCCTATTTCAGTTTGCTTTATTGGCAAGTGTCTCAAATGAGTGGCCTTCTTGGTACTTAAGGAACTGGGTTTCCCTTGGCTATAAAACTAAACTGATCTTAGACACCAACTTGGTTTCTCTATAGTACACAGCCTTTCAACATATAAAACAGTGCAAAACCCAGACATAAGGATGACTGTTGTCTACATGACAGTACCTGTGGAGAAGTTGACAAAGGGACACAAATAGCAGCAGAGGACTCAGAGCGAGGTGGCTTCCCAGTCTGACCCACCTCGTGGTCACTGGTTTTAGGCAGGGCCTGTGATATATTCGGTGGTTCCAGTGACCCAAACATGCTTTTCCATTCTTCATTCACATTGGAGTCTTGTTTTACATGTTTTCTGGCTATGAAAATATATTTGGAATAGTTAGTCTGAAGGCAAACCGATCTGATTTGACTGTCTGTTTATAAGAGAACACAATGGACCTTACTTCTTGTGTGTTCCTTTGGGGCTCCATTTTATTCAGCTCTATGTCCCTGAAGGCACATATACAGATATAGATATGTTCAACTTACCATGTCAGCACATAGAAATGTTTATCCACCTACAATTTTGCCAACACTAGGAATTGTCCGTGTTGATCCAGGTAGAAAATGGATATTTTAATTTTGTTTTATTTAATTATTTACATTTAATGTATAACATCTATTCTACCAATTATTTGCTTAAATCCTTCACCTTTTTCCTTTGGAGTGCTTGATTTTTTTCTTATTGGTATGTATTGGTGCTTTATATAAAATACATGTAAGCCATTAGTAATTAAGTTGCAAACACTTTATCCCAAAGCTTACTTCAATATAATTTGCTGCCTTAAAATATGATACAGGAACAGGGGGGATTTCAAAGGCATATAGTTAACAGTGAACCATACCTGCAGAAAGGGTATACACAAGATCATATGAACTTCAGACAACCGATGTCGGTGTCACAGGAGATGACAGTTCCAAGTATCAAGTTGCCAAATGACTAAGGATTCTTTGGCCTCTACTCTTTTATATTTCATTGTTTATTTTAAATTTATCGGGCACTACCCTACTGATACTCCAGAAGCCTGTATCTGGCTTTACAGAGGCTGGCCTTGAGTTAGCAGTTACAGAGTTAGAAAATGGCTTGAATCATCCCTTCCACAAGAGGCAGCATGGTCTTAGAGCTTTGGAGACTGGCCTTCATTTGACAGAGCTGTGATCTGGACTCTCAACTGTGCCTCTCCTGTGTCTACTTATTAAGTAACTGAGTCACTGTATTTCAAAGTTCTCTATCTGGGAAATGGGGGTTGGGGGGTATTTATTCTTTATTAACTAATTCCAGCTTTATAACATAACTAATAACAGCGAAATGAGCACCCCGATGTACTAACCCCGCTTTTCATCTGGTTCTTGTTTGGTTTTAACAAGATCAACTTGTCTCCCAGTGATGCCTAAGGCTGCCAAGTCGATGACACCTTTCTGGCTGCTGTCATGGAGATGGCTCTGGTCTACTGCATTGGCTTTCGCTCTGTTTGATTTCATCATGAAGTCCTTCAGTGCCAAAAGTTTATCTTCCTCTTCTTCGGTCATTCCCTAAAACCAAATTAAACCATGTATTTTGAGTTAATTTCAAAAGCAGAAATATATAAGATGACTAATAATAAAGGTTTGCCCCTATAATCCCAGCACTTGGGAGGCTGAGGCCCAATGACAGTAAATTCAATCCAGCCTGAGCTATAAAGACATCCTGATTCAAAAATGGAAAAAAAAAAAACAAAAACAAAAAAACCTAACTAAACAAATACTCAAAATATTCACAATAAATGAGGGACAAAGCACTGTCACATAACCCATATAATATCACTGAGGTCAGTAAAGATGACCATACAATGGGAACACACACCATGCCCTAACAACCAGCAGACTTAAACTGCTGGACTTCAGTTGTCTCCGACAGGCTCAATGCAATGCCAATGAACACACCAATAAGTTGATATCATTTTATGAAGTGACAAGCTGATTTCTGAAAACTCATAAAGAAATGTGTATGGAAATGTAAAGGCCAGGCATAACCAAAACAATCCTGAGGAAGAAAGAAAGGAGAAGGGCTGTGTCAGAACCAAGGCTAAGTTACAGAGCCGAACTCAGCCAGCACTGCTAGCCTGATGGAGAAACATTAGTCATCCAGCACTCAACACAGGGCAGGCTTCCATGGATGGCCTGACAGCGTACAGTACTTAATCTTCTGCATTTAACATGCGGCAGGCTTCTGCTGCCAGCCTCATGGAGTAACAGGGACGAGAGTTACCTCCCCACTTAAACAAGCTTAGAAGTGGACTGAAAAACATGAAATGACACTTCAGGCTGAGAAAACAGGCAGCCCAGGGTTATAGTCCCCAAGACAGAGATAAGTCCTGTTCTTGCAGTTGTCCAGAATCCTTCCTGGAAAGTTTCCAGGCCATGGCCATGGCCATGGAAAAGGGACCCAACATACAACAGATCTGAGCTCAAGAATGCTACAAATGTCAATACAGAAGGGGAGAAAATGGAGAAGACAGCTGTACACCATGAGCATGTTAGAGGGCTAAGGTGTATGGGGCGGGGTGGGGGGTCCTCAATTCTTTGGCTGAAAATTAAACTACATATGCATAGAGACTACCTAGGCCAGGAAAAGTGCAACAGCAACGCAGTAGACCAAATACTTCCCAGAACAGCCCATGTTTCTATCTGCCAAAAGTGAAGAGTTGTTAGAAACATAGACTGTTGTGTCCACATGTCCACAGAGCATCATGTTGGTGGGGCTCCAGGGGCTGTAAGAAGTGTGCTCTGGATCTGTCCTTACAAAGCTTGAAAGCCAGGCTAGAAAGGATGAAACTGATTCCAAGGGTCAAGAGACCAGGCCCAATGTTATGTAAAGGAATTCAGCATCAACAACATGACATTCACAATGAGTAAAGAAAAGTTAGATGGATGCCAACTGAGGGGATTTTATTATGTATCCTCTCAGGCCGCTTCAATTTTGCACTTGTATCAATGCTACAAAGTTAAAAAGTACTAACATAAAAATCAAGTCAAAAGTTTAAAATGTATTTTTCTAAATAAGGAATGGAATGGATCATCCCATGTCCTCTACAGTCCCTTATTAAATGGATACAAAGCAGAGCTCTTATAGATGAGATCTAACTAAAGCATCCCTGCATGTGCCACCTCCTGACGATACACCCTGCTGGAGAGATCCCAGGCCCCACATACCTGCTGTTCCAAAGGAATGTTCAAGGCCGCTATCTCAAGCCCAGAACATATATATGCCCACGACAGCAACATCAGGCTGTTCTGGAGAAGCCCACTCTACCGGCAACACACCTCAAGTACAGAATTGCACAAAGAAGGCCTGAGCCCCAAAACAAAAGAGTTCGGAGCTCCCACTGGGAGAGGCTACAGCTCTCTTTCTTCTTAGCCTGCCCATTAGGAACAAGAACTCAGGTTCTGCCTCCAAAGTCAGATCCAAACCTCTGCTAGTGATACTGGTAACCTGAACAGAGTAATGGCTAAAACCAGTAAAAAGGAAGAAACATGGAGAAGACAGCTGCTACTCATAGGCTTCTTCATGCATCTATCAAAATCAAACAAGCTTGCCATCTTGGACTTGCATCCCTATAATCTGAGCAGGAACACAGCAGCAGGGTGGTTGTAATGGGCTTAGGTTAAAATGTCAGCTTTAAAGCACCCTGCACCGCATCTCTAACTACAGCACAGATAACAAAGCTGCTTGCACGGGCTTTAAGGACAGTCACAGAACACGGAAAGAACACACAGCAGCGGACTGTCAGGTATCTTTACAATGGAAGCTAGTGGTTTCTGTCCTTTGTACTGACAGTGCTTACACTCTGGCTTGATAACACTTCTGCTGGCAGCAAGTGTCCTTGGAACACAGTGTAAGTCTCCTCACGCTTGTGAGCCTCCTAATGCTATCAACAGCAACAACTTAAGACAGGCTAATTTGTTCCTCTGTTCTCCACTCAGACAAATGCAATGAAAATGGCAAACATACCAAGCATTGCCTTTCAGAGGCACCAAAGTCAGACAGTCTAGTGATTTTGTCATGGATCCAAAACTGGGAGCTAGCACTGAGGGAGTGGCAGTGACAGAGGGGGCACTTGGGAAAACGGTAGGGAACAAAAAGGCTAAGAGAAGCAGAGGCTGCTTCCCAGTTCAATTCCTAGCAACATCATCATCAATGATATTCAAGGTCAAGTAAAATACAGGAAAACATTTATACTACAAAGCTCATCAAATTCTGGTGAGTCCTTTGTGTGTGGCAAGTACCTTTAATCTCAGCAGAGGTACGGAGATCTATTGAGTTTGAGACCAGCCTGGTCTATGTAGTGAGGTCAAGCCATCCAGGGTTACACAGGGAGACCCTGTCTTCAACAATCTCTAAAAATATCTAAAGATGAGTACATGTTTTTTTTCAGGTGAGACATGGCTGGTAAGCATTTTCTATGAAAACATTCTGCAGAGCTAATGGTCGTTGTCCTTAGTCTGTTCTATGCTCATGGAGTTCCATCAATTAGAGACTTCATAAGGAAGCATTTTTTTTTTTTTTGAGACCGGTTTCTCTGTATTGCTTTGGAACTTGTCCTGGAACTCGTTCTGTAGACCAGGCTGGCTTCAAACTCACAGAGATCCACCTGCCTCTGCCTCCCGAGTGCTGGGACTAAAGACGTGTGCCACCAACACTGGCTATTTAGAAGCATTTTTATTCCAAATCTGACTCTAGATCCTACATATCATATAAAACAGAAAGATGAATCTAATTTAGTATTTTAAAAAAGGCCCTACCAATGCCAAAAAGAGTAAAAGGGTTTTACAGGAATTTTTTTAGTTTCTATGGGATTTGTTAACTGATCCAAATTCAGACTTAAACACAACAGTAAAGTGCTGGCTTATTCAACCAAAGACACTGTACACCCAGGCTCCTGCAGCTGTTTGCACGAAGTAACAAGTGTGAGTCTGGACTGGGGTGAGGCATCTGTGTTTTGAAATATTTCTTCTAGCTGAACTTCATTATATTTTGGTAAAGTATAGAAATGAACTAAAAATAGTACTTAAATTCAAGTCTCTTTCTAGTCTCCCAGCAATCACAAAGGAAAGGGGATAGTCTCCCATGGGTCCTAATTTAGTCTAACTCAGTGTTTTAGGTTATTGTCTTTGCTTAGATACCACAGAGAATACACAAGATTTGACAAATCCATTTTCATTTGTCATGATAGAAGCTAATCAAGAACATTTTTAGCATGTAAATAGATGCTTCAACACTGTCATAACACCTGTTTACATGAAGGCCTGAGGAAGGCACACACCTGTGAGAGCAGTTTCTTCAGAAGCTGTGCTATGGCAGGGTCCTCAGGTGGAGGGCAGTCAAGAAGAGAGCCATTTCGCTTCTTCTGCCGCATGTGAAGATGTCTGAACAAGCTAGTGATGTCTTTGGACCTCAGGGCATAATCAAATATAGAGCGGCACACCGGCTCTTTTAGAACACTGAGCAGGACAAGCTTCCTTTCAATCTATATTAGAAAAGTAAAAAAGTGATTAGTTAAAACTACAGTACCTAGAGCAATTACTTCCAAACTCAGTATGCACAACCTGTGTAAAGTTAACAAAGTATATATTTTCTAAGAAAACAGTGGGGTTTTTAGGAGACAAATAGGAAACTGGCCAACTTTAAAGGCCTAAGTTACCACCAGAGTACATACCACCCACGGAAGACTAATAATAAATACCCAAAGGCAAAGGTTTCGGGAATTCAGAGCAAGCCATCCCTGGGTCTGTAGAGATGAGATCTACAAGTTACCCATGGTTCAGAGGCCTAAGACACAGGCGCTGGCCAGAGATCTAAGCAAACACTGCACAGGGCTTCCCTTCAGTTTCCACATGTCCCCAACAGACCCAAACCCTTCTTCAAAATGCTCTCTCCAGAATTCAAGACTTCTTTCTCTTAGTGGTCTAGGAACACTTTTTTGGTCAAGGCATATATAATAAAGCTATAGTTATTGCCAGCAGTGACCCAAAAGACTCTTGTTTTTCCTGTCAATGTTGGGAGACAGAAGCCAGGTCCTTGAACATGTAGGTAAATGCTCCACCACTGAGCTAAAGCCCAGCCCCTGGCCTTGTGAAACAGGATCTTACTACCTAATTCATACTGACCTTAAATTCCTTACGTAACCCAGGCCATGAACTCACAATCCTCCTGTGTGGGTCTCTTGGGAACTGACATTGTAAGTGTGCATCACCACACCCAGATGTAAAGAATGGTCTTTGTATATAATTAACTGTTGCAGTTGAAACTTAAAGGGTGCCTTTGTCTAATCTCAAAGGAAGAAACAAGGGTTGGGGAGATGGCTCAATAGTTATGAATGCTTACTGCTCTTCTGAGGTCCTGAGCTGGGTTCCCAGCACTCATGCCTGGAGGCTCCGGAACACGTGTAACTCTATCCAAGGCCTTTTTCTGGCCCTAAGAGTAGTGCATTCATTCATGTGCACAAACCCACACCAGGACACACAACATAAACACAAAATTAAAACTTTAAAAAAAGTTTACATTTTAAAATGAAGAAGGAGCCGGGCGTTGGTGGCGCACGCCTTTAATCCCAGCACTCGGGAGGCAGAGACAGGCGGATCTCTGTGAGTTCGAGGCCAGCCTGGTCTACAGAGTGAGTGCCAGGATGGGCTCCAAAGCTACAGAAAAACCCTGTTTCGAAAAAACAAAAACAAAAACAAAAATCCACAAATGACAGATGATTATAACATTATTAGCTCAAAAGGTGTATGAAAATGTTACAAACCAACTTAAATACATTTTGATGTAAAGGACTCTAAAGATATAATTGGAAAGGACTGGTCACAGGCTGGAAGATGTGTACCTGGATTACTGGTTGGGTAATATATGGGTCTAGATAAGGCATCAGCTTGCAGTAGACATCGGCAGTACTTATTTGATGAGCTACCACTGTGATAAATCCCACTGCGCCATAACGTATCCACAGATTAGGGTGACACAGGAAGGGAGCTAAAGGGGAAGAAAAAAGATAGCAGATCAAACCAGATTCACAAAACTTTAAATTTTAAGGTCATACAAAGCCTTACATTATAACAACTTCATAAAGACATCAAGCCTCAGTGTTACCCGAAAGTTCTTGCACATATTTGCCTAAAATAGAAACTCAATAAAACAAAGTTATAACACTCCCTTGTCATACTTACCAGCCATACTACAAAACTAACCTCTCCTCTGTAAAATTTCTATTTTTCAGAGTTGAAAGTGTTTTAGCACATACTCATTTGTGGCACTGAATTAAAAACTCCAGGACAGAGAAAAAAAAATATCCCAACAACACGCAGGAGTGATCCATTTCACCCTATAGGTTCAGGATGGCAGCTACCACACAAAAAGCAGAGACATGGGGAGAAAACAATCTGACCTATTTGACATTCTTTTTAATGCAGGGTTTGGTCAAATCTAGCACATAACTCATAATTTTGCCTGTCATAGTGAATGAAAAAGTAGAACACATCATGTCTATTCTTCAGGGTTCTAACTCCAAGATTAACCTAGAAAACAGAATGTCTTCCTTCCTTTTAATGGTTTTATGCACTAAGCCTAAATCATTTATTTCAATTAATCAAAGTCACAAAAAACATGATTTAGAATAAAACTCGAACTTGTAAAACACAATAGTTGCACAGGCTCTAAGTTTGCAAAGATATACTCGGAGCTGTTTATCAGAAGTCCATGGGAACAACGATGTAGCAATCATTTACTGGTGATGCTTACATGAAAATGAAAGAGAAAAACCTGTTCAAAATCCCTCTCTTCAGGGCCACCACCAAGTCTGACCACCAGAGTTAGAGCCCTGGGACCCATGTAAAGTGAAAGGAGAGAACCAACTCCACAGCTGTCCTCTGACCGCCACAAGCATATAATAGTATGTGCACATATGCACACATGCATGTGCTCGAGTGCACACACAGGGCACCCCTCCCCCCCCCACACACAGAGTAAAATAAAATCTCTCTTCAAAGTCCTTACATGGTCTTGTCATTACCCATGAAGGTTTTTATTATTTCACAATCCATGCACAGCCCTGATCCATGTGACAAGGAAGGGCTGGTGTTCTTCCAGTTCTTCCCTTTGATGTAAAGAAGGAAAGGATGGAGTTCAGTGTACGGTGCTTCTCTAACATGCACAAGGCCCCAGAATTCAACCCCAACACCTCAACAATCCAGAACAGAAGAAACTGGCAAAGCACTGACAGAGCCACAATGGCATGACAGGGGTTGGGTGCTGGGTAAGATAAATACTGACTCCAAGTTTCCCACACGCATGTGCCTCCAGTGCACCTGTCATACTTAAGAAACCTCTAGCAACCCCTTGGTCAATGAATGTTAGCAAATGGGAATGTGCTGCACAGCTAGGCTTGCTCTCCTGTGCTTTGGTCACCTCAGAAGAACAGTTGGGGCAGCCTCAGCCATGGCACCACAATGAGACAGATGGATCAAAAGACAAAGGGGACCCTCAGCCTGAAGCAGAGCCACCCACACAACCCATAGGTGCATGACAAAGAGATACACTGCAGTGTTTACTAAGACTCTGTGGTTAACTGACACACTGCATTATTATAGCAGTAATTAGCCGACAAAGTACATCAAAGCCTTAAGCCTGAGCTGAAAGAATTTCTTAGAAAACTAGCCTTCAATCTTTTCTCTCTAATATGCTCCAGTTCTCTGGTGACGAGCATAAGGCAAGCAGAGAACTGAGAATTATCTAAGCAGGAGTAACAGTTCTTAAAACCACCTCCAGGGAAATCACAATAATCATCATCAACAACACCACAGCCATCCTCATCTCAGAATCACTACACTAAACCAGTGTGGTGGCTCATGCCTGGCACACCCACACTGGGGGGACTGAAGCCAAAGCAAGAGGTCATGAGTTCAAGGCCAGCCTGGAACGTTAGTGCTAATAACTTCCCTAAGGATACACAACATATAAAGTACATAGGTCATTGTATCAACAACATAAAATACAAGAGGAAAAACTGAAGTGTGGGGTTTGAGTAGGTGAAAATTAAATTTATGAGATTTTAAAGATTCAAAGCATAGCACTTTAAAAAAAAAATCCCAGCATCAAAAAGGATGATGTAATGAACAACAGAAATGATCCCATCAAAATCCCAACACAATTCTTCACAGACATTGAAAGAAAAATTCTCAACTTTCTATGGAAAACAAAAGACCCAGGATAGCCAAAACAACCCTGTACAATAAAGGAAATTCCAGGGGCATCACCATCCCTGACTTCAAGCTCTATTATAGAGCTATAGTAATGAAAACAGGTTGGTATTAGCACAAAAATAGACAGGTAAACCAATGGAATGCAGGTGAAAACCCTGATATTAACCAACACACCACAAACACCTGATTTTTGACAAAGAAGCTAAGTTTACAATGGAATAAAGAAAGTATCTTCAACAAATGGTGCTGGCATAACTGGACGCTGGCATGTAGAGAGATCCATTTCTATCACCATGCACAAAACTTAAGTCCAAATGGATCAAAGACCTCAACATAAAACCAGCTACACTGAACCTATTAGAAGACAAAGTGGGAAGTACCCTTGAATTAATTGTCACAGGAGACTGATTCCTGAACATAACACCAGTAGCACAGACACTGAGACTGACAATTAATAAATGGGACCTCCTGAAACTGAGAAGCTTCTGTACGGCAAAGGACACAGTCAGCAAGACAAAATGGCAGCCCACAGACTGGGAAAAGATCTTCACCAACTCCACATCTGACAGATGGCTGATCTCCAAAATTTACAAACAACTCAAGAAGCTAGTCTCTAAAACACCAAATAACCCAATTAGAAAGTGAGGTACAGAACTAAATAGACAATTCCCAATAGAGGAATCTAAAATGACTGAAAGACACATAAGAAAGTGTTCAACATCCTTAGCCATCA